TAGTAGCTATGGCCTCCAACCTAGTAGCGATGGCCTCCTCCAACCTACTAGTAGCGATGGCCTCCACACCTACTAGTAGCGATGGCCTCCAACCTAGTAGCGATGGCCTCCAACCTACTAGTATAGCGATGGCCTCCAACCTAGTAGTAGCTATGGCCTCCAACCTAGTAGCGATGGCCTCCAACCTACTAGTATAGCGATGGCCTCCAACCTAGTAGTAGCTATGGCCTCCAACCTAGTAGCGATGGCCTCCTCCAACCTACTAGTAGCGATGGCCTCCACACTAGTAGGGATGGCCTCCAACCTAGTAGCTTAGTAGCGATTGAAGATGGTGCCATGATTTGTGGAAAAGCTGTGACGATCCCAGGCCGAAGCTCCCGCGGAAGCTGTAAGAGTTTGACGCATCCAGAGGTGCTTTCGTTTGCTCGACTCCCAGGTGTAAAATTTCCTTTCCTTTCTTTGCTTCCTTCCTTTCTTTCCTTTCTTTCTTTCTTTCTTTTTTTCCTTTCTGCAACATGTGTTTGTGATTTTTACAGTTATGTTTCAGTCTTTCCCGGTGTGCTTACGACAGTGCACAATGAGGCCTGATGAGGTTATGTCTCACTGCCAATGAGGTGTGACTAGCAGGTGAAAGAACGCAAAACATCAACGTGTATCATTGCATACTAGGAGCAAGGACGCTACTAGGAACAAGTGCATCGCTAGTAGTAACAAGTGCCTTACTAGTAGTAACAAGAAGCTACTAGGGGCTCCTGGCCTTACTACTAGTGACAAGAAGCTACTAGGAGCAAAGGGCATCGCTACGAACGGAGCAAGGACGCTCATATACTTACATCTATAAGGCGCACCGGATATGCCGCTGTATAAGGCAACGTGCATGTTCACCTGCTGGATCATTTGTTCAAAGTAGACTTGGACACTCTGAAATTTGGGGTGGTCTGAGAGGGAGAGAGAGGAAAATTGGGAGCAGAGCACTTGAGGCAACTGCCTGAGGAATAGGTGAATAGGGCCTGGAAAACGCTGAACGCCTTCTCGAACTGAGAGTGTTTCATCGGCTTGATGAATTCCACAAACAAGATAAAGTTGCAAAGGACGCTACTAGGAGCAACGGGCATCGCTACCAGGAGCAACGGGCATCGCTACCAGGAGCAACGGGCATCGCTACTAGGAGCAAGTGCATCGCTACTAGGAGCAAGTGCCTTACTAGTAGTAACAAGAAGCTAGTAGTAACAGGTGCCTTACTAGTAGTAACAAGGTTCGCTACTAGGAAAGACTTGAGAAAGACTTCAGTTCTGTGCAGCAACTCCTCGTTCACTCTCTCCATGGTGCTGCCATGGCCGACCCTTTTAGCATCCGTCCTTGGAACACTGTGGCTTGGCTTTGACGCTCTTCATGACATCTAGTGACGAGTTCCGGGACCTTGAAAAATGAGAAAAGATCCCTAGTAGCGAACATTGCTCCTAGTAGTAAGGCCAGGAGCCCCTAGTAGCGTCCTTGCTCCTAGTGACGAGTTCTGGGACCACAAGAGAAAAGATCCAACATTCTTGAAGTTGCTGCAGATGTCTTGTTGCTTTCCCTAGGTCCATTTGACCAACTTGGCCTCCACACTCGGCCAGGTGGTCTGCTTTTGCACCCCAAAAAAGCGGTTCCGCTCATCACTTCGATCGAATCGCGCAGGGAGAGCCACGCCGACCACGCAGCCAGCCTAACTGGGCACCCTTGCAG